GCCTTGATTTTCCCAGTGGTCTCTTTCCTTCTGGCTTTCCCACCAATATTCTATATGCATTCCTTGTCTCCCCCATTCACGCGTGTAAATATGGTACGACTTCTGAGAACGGTCTTTCATGAGAAGATAATAAAAGAGTCTCAGCTAGTCATGAAATTTAAAATAATTTATAGAATTAGAAAGTTCATTTTCATGTTCGCAAGATCCTGCTACTAGCCCCTATCCTGAGAGAGATGAATTCAGCCCACAGCTTCCCATTATGTTTCTTTATGATTCACTTTATTATCCTTCTGCCTATACATAGATTTCCAAGTGTTCTGATTCATATTTAGTTCTGGGGTTTGAACCGGCATACGTACGAATTACGACCTAGGATACGGCGTAACTATAGAGAGTAAAGACGGCCGGAGGCAGACGCTAGCGAAAAAGTAGTAGAAATGGCATACAAACCTAACAGGGTTAGTTTTAAGATAAACAGGGTAACATCGCAAGTTATGGCTGCACGTTTGTTACCAAAGCAGAAGTTATTCGCGAATTTTTGCGCGACAATTGATTTTTGGGGGACCAGACATAACAAGGGCCCAAAACCGGGAAGTAGGCATTGTGATGCATCCCGGAGGTTGCTAATTGGCTACGGGCGAAGCAATTCGCCTGACTATAGGGTTTACGACCCAGAACTCTTACCCACGGTGAGCCGAGTTTAGGCAAGCTTACAGGGTGTATTGAAGACTGTAAAGAAGGGACGGTACGATTTGCATAGGGGTAACGCCCATAGCAAAAAGGGGAGGCAACTGTTCAGGCAGTTCCATTTTGGTTTGTATCGGTCAGGATTACATCCTGTGCACTTGAGAAATGTTATGGGAGGGTACCCAGGTAATTAGGACCCACCCTTTCTTTGTTGGAATGCATGGCTATATGTAGTAGTGAAGCCTACAGGAGCAGAAGCAGATGCGTGAGCACTCCAGAGGCCCTATGAGCATTCCGGGCAAGGACGCCCGAGAGTCATCCGCAAGCGGGAAGCTGCGACCAGTTCGTCGGACAGCGACGCTCCCAGCGAGTCAGCAGTCGAGCCGGAGCCATGGGAACAACCCAGAGAGAGAACCGCACCGCAGTTCCTGACCCCCTTACTCTCAATGGAGGTCACGTATGGAACATCACCAGGCACTACGAGATGATCCAGGGGGCGGACTCATTTTCGTCACCGCCCCCACAACGATGTCCCAGCTACTACAAGAGCAGCTGAGACCAGGCCCGGACGAGGAAACGAGTTTGGAGAAGAGCCGTGGCCGATTGCAGAGAGGAGAGTCTACCAATCCGTCTGTGGAGGCACAGACTGGTCATCTTCGCCCTCCGTGCGAGCTACCTCAGGGGGGTAGCGCAACCTCAGAGAGGACGAGCCAAGAGAGAGAGAGACCAACGGCGAGATGGCAGCTGAAGAGGGGATCAGCAGGCCAGAGAACCGAGTTCGATCCGAGACTACAGAGTTCCGTGACGAACCGAGACTAAGTGATGAGCAGACAGAGTGAACATATGTGGTGAAGCCATATCAAACATTAAAGATTTTTTTTTAACAAGTGTATAATTGCCACATTGATGTTATAATGTAAGAGACTACATAGAGACATATATAGAAATCTAGTGTAATATTCCCAGTTAAAAGGGAATATCCCACTTTTGGTGTGGGGGGATGTTGTGACCTAAAGGCCGACTCCCGGTAACATGTTAACAGAATATTAACTTTTTGTATTTTGGGAAAAATATTGGTCGCAATAGATTGAGTCTCGGGAGATATTCGTAAGATGTACAAAGCGGATGTAAGAAGGTTAAACAACTTAAAGGAATTTCTGCGTATGGATTTAGACGGACATTGGCTTGCCACGAGGGGAATGCCCAGTCAGCAGAATGACGTTGAATGTATATCGAACTGCTAACTACAGAATTTACACTTGTGTGATGGGAGGACGTTTGGAGGTAAAAGTGTCAGCCAAACGGTTTAGCAGTAGAAGGGGGTGTGTCCCCTTAGGATCCCAGCCAACGAGATCACCCACCTTGGGATAAGATGTCATTGGAGGCGGACTTACACCCTCCGGGAAAATAATGAGTAAGCATAAATAGGGGTATATAACCCAGAGACCCAAAATAGTAGAGGGGATTTCTAACAGTAATTTTGGCCAGTTGCGGCCGTAGGCTCTGTCCAAATGGACACCGACTCGACGCCCGGCAACGCCATGTGTCTGCAGACTCAACGCAAAGTAAGTGGAAACTACTCTTATCGCCATGCGCAATAATTGTAATATTGTTAAAGTCTAACTCCTCCAAGGGGCTTGAGTTAGGGACGCAGATCAAGTGTACTGGGCGTAAGAGTGACCCATCTGAGTGATACAGTGATAACCAAGTGTAATGTGTAACCCGACACCGTCGGCTCTTTCAGTATGACAATTCCGCAATGTATATATAACTGTAGATTGATTGTGTTATACTAATATAGGGTAGAATAGGGTGAGGATGTGGGTTTGTGTGGTCATTTTCTCCCTTTCCACATTTCGCACCTGCGCCCTCCTGACAAGCCCGGTGAACAGTGAGCCCCTAGCCACGAAGCAATGATAGAGAAAGCTATTCAGACGTTTCCTTAGTCCTACCCCTGTGACTGCAAGAGAGAAGGTGACAGTGGGGATTACCAATCCACCCCTGTCGAAAGGACTAAGGGCATAAGAGTGGTGGAAGCGGTGGGGATACCTTCACGCCCCACCCCACCACGACGTAACACCATCCCATCCCATCTCTCTAAGATCCATTTTAATATTATCCACCCACCTATGCCTTGATTTTCCCAGTGGTCTCTTTCCTTCTGGCTTTCCCACCAATATTCTATATGCATTCCTTGTCTCCCCCATTCACGCGTGTAAATATGGTACGACTTCTGAGAACGGTCTTTCATGAGAAGATAATAAAAGAGTCTCAGCTAGTCATGAAATTTAAAATAATTTATAGAATTAGAAAGTTCATTTTCATGTTCGCAAGATCCTGCTACTAGCCCCTATCCTGAGAGAGATGAATTCAGCCCACAGCTTCCCATTATGTTTCTTTATGATTCACTTTATTATCCTTCTGCCTATACATAGATTTCCAAGTGTTCTGATTCATATTTAGTTCTGGGGTTTGAATTTCAGACCAGAGGCCAGTTATCCTCACCGAGAATTTTGTGATCCATTCAGCACCATATAAGCTATATAGTTGAAAGAATCATTAAATAAACCAAGAATCCACTGAGATAAATATATCTTTTTATCATATTCTTGTAATGAACTGTTATATAATATCCAAGGCACAATAGATCACTGTGGTCGCGGTGCAAGGGCCAAGAAGGCCCATCCTTCATGCATTCATATATAATATCCATCCTTCTGTAATATGACTGGGTTATCATCAATCTTCATAACTAATTTTTTTATTTTCAGTTGTGGCGTGTTTTGTGTGTCACGCTACAAACAACTTCACGCCGTCTTCTGATATAGCGAGTTTATTTCGTTCGCTCATACTTTACACACTTACAAACATTTACACTTGCAGTGTTACAATTACTGCTCATAATAGTTCGGCGAGACACTCGACGCTCTCCTCTGGCGTTTATTCTAGAACTGACTTCTTAAACGGATATCCCAAGACTGACTTCTCCGATGGACAATCCGAGACTGAAGACTTCTCGTCGAAGCTGGGCTATTTATAACCTTGGCCGCTGCTAGGCAAATGAATCCTCTGTTATAGCAGTGGAAACGTTGCTTTGTCCGTTCCGCGTTTCCTACGCAATAACCCATTGTTATCGCGTTGTCTCTGTGGGAACGCTTCGCGTATTCGTCGTAACCATGGAGATTCCTGTTAGAACTACAGTAGAGCAATTGTTGTTTCCTATGCAACGGTCTATTCTAGCGTTTCCATAGAAGTGACTCTTCTGGATTCGCGACACGTTACACAGTATTTGTTGTTTATTTGTATATTTTTTCTTTCTTTAAGCAGAACCGTTGGTGACATGAAGTAAGCAGTGTGAGAAAGTTGGTGGCAACGCACTGAAGTATGAGGTTTCAAGACTATTATAGTACAGTAAGAAAGAAACAAGTTAATGTTATACTGTTAAGCAGTCATTAAAAAAAACATGTTGATGCTGTAAGATATATTTCAGTAAACATGTCTTCTTGCAGTTATGTAAGTACTGATTTTTTTTTTATATTTCTGGCATTTTTCTCTGGTGCCTATCTTGCATTTACTGTTTTATACATGATTATGTAACTTAGATATTATAATGTAAACAGGAATATTATTTTGTGTAATTAAAATTGTAACACTTGTTGGGAATTCAACAGAAGAAGCCCCTTCAGTTGTATAAGCTTTTGTAAAATTCTTTCCTGTCCTTTCCAGTTCTACATGTTATGGAATGGTATGCTGGGAATTATGTTTAACCTTCAAAGGTTAAGCAAGCAAGCAGGGACTCAGTTGGCCGAATGAATGTGTCGCAGGACATGTGCACTCTTTAGGAGTGCTGACAGTTTGACCTTGGGTTTGAAACCAAAAGAAACTTACGTGAAGTCATGTCAGTGCTTCATTCCTTAGCTCTGAACAAACAAATCGTTTATCTCGGTCCTGATTTCGGAAACTATTTATGTTTATATATGATTGTTTATGACCTGGTGAGCCAAATGTAGCCCAGTTTTGTTCTGAGAACTGAAGAGGAAGTATTCGTCGGTGCTTACAGATCAGTGCTTCCAGAGCTTTCAAGGAAGTGTGATGTATTCAAGGATTATTTTTCAATGGCGAATTATCAGTTAGGAAGTCAGTGTCAGATTGTGTTATATTTCTTTTTCACTTAAAAAGTTAGTGTCAGACTCTCATATATTTCTGTTTATATTATTTTGTGTCTCAGAAGAGGTATAAACCCACTGAACCAGTATTTGTTTGTGAGTAGAAGGCATATTCGTCACTGTGACTTTCAGTATCAGTGTTGGACTGGCACCTTTTCGACTACTATTACAATTATTTTTTTTATTGCTAGTGGGGTGGGACTAAGTCTCTTGTACTGCTGCCACTTCTGGCCTCTTGTACCATACTATTACAGTTACTTTGCATCACTACTTTGCGAGTCTTTGCGAATCATCATAATTTATTCGATTTTGCTGGAAACCCCCCTCCCCCAAGATGGAACCTCAAAAACGTGCCTGATGTTGTTACAAGAGTCAAGGGGCAGCTAAGTGTTGTTCGTTGGAAAGACAAGCGTGATGTGTATGTTCTGACGAATTTGCACCCTCCTCCATTGGAAGGCAACTTCCGAGAAGAATCCGGCCATGCTGTCAAACCCCATGTAATTGAAGACTACAATGCGCACATGGGCTTTGTTGATAAATCTGACAGGATGGTAAACAGTTATGGCATTGCTAGGAGGACATGGAAGTGGACAAAGAAATTGTTTTTCCACCTTCTAGATATGACTATTCTAAATGCATATCTATTACACAAGTCATGTGGTGGAAAAATGACACAAAAAGTTCCACGAAATATTGGTGCGGGATTTGATTCTTCAGTCGCATGAGGCAAATATCACGGTCAGTGGCGTTTCTCGTGGGAGGCCAAGTTCATCTGGGGCCCAACTGAGTCGACTGGAGGTGAAACATTCACAACACTGGCCAGCCAAAGGAAATCAAAGACGTTGTGGTATTTGTTCTCAGAATAAGAAGCGCAGAACCACGGCCTACTACTGTAAAAATTGTAATGTTGCGCTTTGTGTGGAGGACTGTTTCCAGAGATGGCACACGCACAGAGTGTGAGATAGCGTAAACTGTGAAGTTACGCAGTTCAAACTCACGTACAGTCTGAACAAAATATTATTGTATATAGTGTGATCATATCTACAATATCATCATGATTCAAGATTGAAGAAAAAACAATGGGTAAGCCCTTTGGAACTTCATAACATATATAATGAAGAGTATGTTTTGCATTTCATGACAAAATATTCACAGTTAATTTTCATTTGTAAAACTTGTTCTTTTACATATATGTAGAAAATTTTATTGTCTTTCAGATTCTTTTTAGTTCATATTTCTATGTTGCATAGAACGGAAAATATGCATTTTCTTCTGAAAGTTTGCGGTGATAATTAATTAGGGTGATTTAAATTCCAGCCATACAGGGCTCCTGGCAATTTAAAAGTCCGTACGTTAAAGGTTAATGGCATCACCTGCAAATGATATGGACAATTAACCTTTATCCTACGGGCATTTAAATTCCGGTAAGGGCAGCGGTACGGAATTAATTTAAATACCCGCGATTATAAATCCATAAAAACTGCAATCATTTACTAAATTTGCTCCTATTTCTGCAATTTCAGTGATAAACGAACGAAATAAACGCTGTTTTTTTCTAGAAAGAATGTAGAATCAGATACTGTAATTTACAGACTTTATAAAATGTGTAACAATTTTTAGACTGATTCCAATTAAAAAATTCTCAAATTTGTCGTCTCCCTACAAGAATTCAGTTCTTGGAACGAAGAATGTTGTATGAAATGTTGCAACACAGCAGCGGATCGTTTATGGAGCCATGTATAGCCTTGCATGTCTCGAAAGATTATACACGTACGTCGTTTCGGTATGCAGAGATGTGGGGTGAGTATCTATTCGTATACAAGAACCTTGATTGTTTATTATCGCTTGTTGCAAAACAACAAGCTCTCTCTTCTCACTCTGCTGGAAAGAGATTATAAGTNCCAAGCAGTGTCAAAAGTTAGCATTCTGCGAAGTTGTGAACCAACGATTGCGCTGTCTCGTTAGGAAGACGCTGACATATTTCAACTCATAAACGACTCCGAATAAGACTGTTGTAAATTCAATTCTGAGAGTGGCGTTGAGGAAAGTGAATCATAAATTGATTTCGACGAAGACCCAACATCTTGGTCGGCAACCTGGGGACCACCACACCAGCATGGCAAGA